AAGTGGGCTTGACCAAAATCCACCACACGCGTGCGCCGCCATCTGTTAGGCTGAGTCGGGTCCTAGCTTAATTTTTTGGACAAAATCCATTTGAATTTTTTCAAATTCTTGCGGGAAAATTTGAAATCCTAACGAATTAACTCAAACGTTTGCACCAAAATTCGAATTCGAATTTTTACTTCCCATACAGTGCCTCTCTGGTTGCCTCTCTTCAATTTCCAGCAGTTCTAGGTTTCACACCTATTCAAAGAGTTTTTTGCCCTTCCGAATAGACACCTTTTGGCTTATAAATTCAGGATCCTGCAGCTGATTGATTCATTCCATTTTTCTTTCCCGTTTTCCTTATGTGCTACGTTTTCCCTTCATATTAGTTCTTAGAGTTTTAAGAGAGTTTTAGAACTCAGGTTTTGATTTGCTAGAACAGATTGTTTGTAGTGTTACTACAATCTGTGTAAATGATCATTGTATCCTAGGAGATAGATGCCGATAATTCGTGAACACTTGTGCGGCGGCGAATCTGTCTTAAGGATAAAGTGTCACACACTCGACTTAATCATATTTTGATATTCTTTCCTGTAAGTAATTTATTTACTTTGTTTCAGTTTTAAATTTTTACACAGAAGATTATTCCAACAATCTTAAGACAGATTCGAATTATTCTGCTTATATAGAATTTTTCGTTTGTTTTCGTTCAAACTTTCTTTTTAGTTGTTTTACAGAAATTATTTTCTGTATGAAGTTTATCAGAAATTCATTCTGAATTTTCAAAAATAAAATTATGGGTTTTCATTAAGTAAAATTTTGTTTTTCTGTATTTTAATTTTTGAAGTTTGTGGAAATAATATTCTGTGTGAAATTACTTTGAAATAAAAGTCACAACTTTGTTTATTTTATTTTTCACATAATTATATTCTTTGTTTTTTGTTTAATTTTCTGTGTAGTATAAAATTCTAATTATAATTCTATTTTGTAATTTAGAATTTAATGGCTACTGAAATTACTCAAACCTCTAATCCGATCGGTGTTGCGATTGCCCCTATCCTTTCTGCTGTTGTTACAGTCCTGGTGAATCACAGGGAAAAGCCAAAAAAGTTTCTAGGAATTGACTTTAAAATATGGCAACAGAAAATGTTGTTCTGTCTTACGACATTAAATTTGGCATGTTTACTTCGTGAAGATACTCATGTTCTGACAGAGAATGAAACTGACTGACAAATAGTTGCTATGGTCGATGCTTGGAAGCATGCGGATTTCCTTTGCCTCAACTATATCTTGAATGGGCTTGATAATATATTGTACAAAGTTTATAGCCGTATCAAGACGGCAAATGAATTATGGGAGTCATTGGAGAAAAAATACAAAATAGAAGATATTGGCTCAAAGAAATTTGTGGTGGTCAAATTTTTTGGATTATGTGATGGTTGATTCAAAGACTGTGATCAGCCAAGTTCAGGATCTCCAACTTATCTTACATGACATCCAAGTAGAAGGCATGTCACTAAGCGACTCCTTCCAAGTCGATGCCCCAATTGAAAAATTATCACAAGAATGAAAGGAATTCAAGAACTATCTCAAGCACAAACGCACACAAATGACTTTGGAAGAATTAGTTGTGGGACTGAGAATTGATGAAGACAACCATACTTCTGAGAAGAGGATTGGACAACATCCTGTAGAGTCAAAGGCTAATGTGGTGGAACATGCACTAAAAGAAAAAAAAAATAGAAATATATCAGAGAAAGTTCCTCACAAGGCTTTAAGGGAAGGGAAACCAAGAAATTCTAGTTTAATGGAACATACTACATCTGTGACAAAGAAGGACACCGGGATAAAAATTGTCGTAGCAAGCTCAAAGGAAAAAGAAGTTCAAGTACAAAATCTGCTCGAGCCAATGGCACTGAAGTGGACTGAATCTCCAATGGCGTTGATGACATATACCACGTGATGTTGCAGGTCTTCAACTTGACCGGTGTTGAGTAGTAAGATAGTGTGCTTTACTTTCGGCAGTTTGTTTATTGTATTGGGTCGTTGAGAATTCTTTTTGGCTCTTACTTAACCTCTCTTAACATTCCCAGTTAAAAATTTTGAGTTTTGGGCATTGGAACTTGTATCGGTGTACAAAATCAATTTCTGAGTTTCTGGGCAAAACCGCTTGTGCGGATTTGGCAACCGCTCGAGCGGATTCACACAAGAATTTCTGGATTTTCTGGGCAAAAAATCGCTCTTGCAGATTCTGGATTCCGCTCGAGCGGATATTGTGAAAATTTTTGGGTTTCTCTCTACAGTAAACCTCTCGTGGAGCATCAGAATTCGCTTGTGCAAATTTGGAATTCTGGTCGTGCGGAATTTGAACTGCTCGTGCAGATTTCGTCACGTCTGTCTCGAATTTCATGCTCTTTTTCTCAAAACTAATACCAAAAACGTGTTTAACATACTTTTTCACTTCTCTCTCTCTTTCTCTCTCTCTCTCTATACTCATCTTTTCTCTTCCTTCTCTCTACAAACACAAACTTCTCTCTAAGATTTAACAAAAATCTTCTAGAATTTGAGAGGGTTGTTTACACCAAATCGAATAAGGCGACGAGGGCTACTTTCACTCCAATTGAATCGAGTTTTCATCAACGTTGAACCTTAGGGTTTTCATCTCCTTTCTCTTCCAAGCTTGAGGTAGTGATATTCTTAGAGTTATATATATGCTTTTGCATGTCTATGCTTGTTTGGAGTATTTCTTATATGTTTAGATCATGAGTTTGGGTTGATGAACCCTGTAAGAGGAGCTAATTTGAGCCCACTAAATTAATTAGGCCTAATAGTCTAAGGTTGGTGGGCTCGAATTTATCGCAAGTCCAAGATTGGTGGGCCCGGATTTATCGCCATCAAACAGCTGAATCGCTCTAAGGCTCGAAAGGGTTCAGATCCACGAACTTAGAGACTTACTCGGGCCCGGACTTGAAAGGGTATTGAGCAAGCCTAGAGATCCGAGGCACTCGGACTCGAAAGGGTTCGGATCCACGAACTTAGAGATCCGAAGCACTTGACTTCGAACGGATTCAGACGCAATCTAGAAGTCGCTCCGTTAATGAGTCCTAGAACACTTACGGGCTCGGAGCTTTTTGGGATCTACGCACCAGAACCATGGGCGTAATGGAGTTCGAATAAAGGACCCGATCCCGAGGACAGTGAGTGGAGATAAATTCACTCTTCGGTTAAACTAGCCTATACCTGGGTCGAAGTGGCACGATTTAGGGGGTCCCTGAGACTCAGCAATATTTGCGGTAGGGCGTTCTCTTGAACTACCCCTAACCCTTATGCGGTAGGACGTCCTCGGGACTACCCCTGACCCTTTGGGATGATTGGGGATCATTGGTTAGGTGTGGCTAAGAAGAAGGGTTCGCCGAGGGGTTAATCTCCTCTTCGGGGTTCTTCTCATCCTCAGAGAGGTCACCTCCTCGGACAAGGTGGTTAGAGAGAATATTTCTCATATGCCTTACACATAGGCTCCATCCTACATCATGAGATGCCTATAAATAGCACCCATCCATAGCTTTACAAGGGATGGATTTTGGAGAATTAACTCTTGGGAAAGAACTAATTTCCCTTCTCCATTATCAACCTCAAGAGTGAAAGTGGGAGATCCATGGGAAAGCCTTGCCATTATTCTCTCTCTAGCCATTTTGCCTTCTTCTTCACCCAATCTCTTATCTCCATCATCTCCTTTACTCTTGTGTTCTTGAGTTGAGACTATTGAAGAATCTAAGCCTCTCATCACCTTCTACAAAATTCGAAGTTGTTCTTCAAGGACCTTCGAAGATCTTCGAATTTTCTAACTCCTTTCTTGAACCCTCTCCTACACTTTCCCTCAGAATCTTCACTAATGAGAGCAAGGGCTGTCCTTCGGAAGTCTGAACGAGAGCAAAACTGTCCCTCAAGAGTCCGAAAGTAGCATACACCCTACTTTGACAAAAAAGATCCCTTTGGAAGGCAATCGAGTCTACCAAGCTTGCACCAATAGAAGTAAAGATTGTCTTTCAGAAGTCCAAGAAGAAAAAAGGTTGTTCTTCAGAAGTTTGAGCGGAAACAAGGCTCTCCCTCAGAAGTCCGAGTGGATGTGCACTTCTACTTCGACAGTTAATGGAAGCAAAGGCTATCCCTCGGGAGTTCGAGTAGGAGTCCACTCTACTTTGAAAAGAAAGATTCTCGGAGCTCGTATTGATGAAAGTAAGGTTTGTTCCTTGGAAGTCCAAATGGAAGCAAGGGCTGTCCCTCGGAAGTCCGGGTGGAAGCACCCTTTTTTCCTTAGCAAGAAAGACCCTCGAAGCTTACATTGAAGGAAGCAAAGGCTGATGGAAGCAAGGGTTATTCTTCAGAAGTCCGAGTAGGAACACACACTCTGTTTCAACAAGAAAGACCATCGAAGCTTGCATTGATGGAACTAAGGGCTATTCTTCAGAAGTCTGAGTGGGAGCACACACTCTACTTCAGCAAGAAAAACCCTCAAAGCTTGCATTGATGGAAGCAATGACTGTTCTTCGGAGGTCCGAGAGGGTGTAACCCTCTACTTTGGCAAGAAAGACCCTCGAAGTTTGCATTGAAAGAAGTAATGGCTGCTTTTCAGAGGTCCAAATGGGAGCACATACTATTTCGGCAACTAATGGAAGCAAGGGTTGTCCCTCTCCGAGTGGGAGTACACTTCTATTGCATCAAGAAAAATCCCTTCAGGTTGGTAACCGAGTCTAGTATTCCTCTTTCTTCTTCGAAGGGCAACAAAAAATTGAAAACTGTTTCAAGCAACATAACACAATGAAGATATACAATGTAGAGAAAATAACTTCTAATAGAGATACATAATATAGAGGAAATAACTTTCTTCATAACATAAGAAAGAAAGATAGAAAATTCTTAGCCAATGCCGTAAATACAAATTGTAAATGTCATGGATAGACTTCTTCTACGGAATGTTGAAATTTGCCCCTAGAGTTGCAAGGTCATTTGGAAAGCTTTCACCAGCTGCTCAGGCTGTGGCCGTCAGACACCATCATAGCCACGCCTTCTAAGATATGTTGGGCTCCTTGTCTTTTGAATTCTAGCTCATGTGTTTCGACTTTCTTTCGAAAGATCTTCTTAAGTGTCCGACATTTTTCTGTAGGATGTCCTAGTGATCGGTGGAAAACACAATAATTAGGACCCTCGCGGTCCTTCTTTGGTAAAAGCTCTTCGATACGAGGCAACATCAGTTCTCCATCTGCCACCCATTCTTTAACTAAGGCTTTCACCTCCTCAACACTACACGGACAAGGAGTGTCATCTTCACAGTTTTTCCTCTTCTGACCTCTGAATTCCTCCCCCTGCGACTTTCGTGTAAAAGACACGGAAGCCACAGTGACAGAAGGTCTTCGGGATGACTTGAAGCTGGTTTTATAACTAGTCTCGAACCCGATCTCCTGAGATTGAGGTATGTTGATGTTCCGAGATGCTTCAATTAGTGCCGAGAAGGTGGGTAGCTTGTGATTAACAAGAAGCATCTTGTACTCGTTTAATGCCCCTTCAACACAGATTTGGACCAAGTAGCCTTCCTCCACAGCCTCATGACAGTCCACGGCTTTGTCTTGGAACCTCTTCACATATTCGAGAATGTCTTCACCTTCACGCTGTTTTTCCTTACATAGGGTAAGTGTGGTCACTTTCTTGGCCACCTGAAAGAATTTGGCGTGGAATTTGTTGACTATCTCTTCCCAACTTCGGACAGAGTTTGGGGCCAAGTTAGTGTACCAACTATATGCTCGGTCGGTGAGGGACTTGGAGAATTCTCTCAGTCGAAGGACATGATTTGAACCATGAATCCCCAAAGTCTCTATGAACCGAACAACATGTTCTCGAGCATTTCCTTGTTTGCCATCGAATTTGGTGAACTTCGGCACTATATACCCCTCAGGGTATGGATAGCTCAGCATCTCAATAGGATAAGGCGGCTTGACATGCGGATCAGGCAAAGAGGGTAAAGTCCTCTTGCCCCGTTCGAGATCGAACATGGCTTGCACATCGGTGAGAGTGAGAAACTGTTGAGGGAGAGAGTTTGATGGTGATATTCCCGAAACTTGGCTTATGGACCCGAAGACTGAGCTAGGGGCGACTTGACCATTCTGGTGCTGTGAATTCATCATTGGTGAGGACATTTGACGATACTGGCCATCAGCGCCTATAGACAAGCCAGTTTGTGATGGGACATTGAATTGAGGCCCGTAAAGTCCACCGCACGGCGCCGCTATACCAGGTTGTGGTTACAAATTTGTTATTGGCACCAAAGGAGGCCCGCCTGGTACTTGAGTAACATTTATTGGTGGCGTAACAAGATTAGATACGGGCAGAGCTCCCTTTTGCGTCATCATGCCCCTTATATTTTCCTGGACATCAACAGTCGCCGGAACGCCATTCATTACACCAGAACCTCCCCTAGTCACCATTGGATCTTGGCTTGGTACGCCATGGAGCCCAGGCATGGGCAAACTACTGCCACCTACTGTGGTTTGAGCATGTGTTACTGTGGCCGTGTTGCCATAAGCCATAGGTTGACTGGGGCCTACTTCTCCTTGGATTTGATTTTGCGCTCCGGCGGGAATAACTCCACCACCAGTTTGATTTCTGCTTGGCTCCGGTGCAAAATTAGAACTCATCACCAACATGGTGTGAGTGAGATTCTGAAGAGTGGTAAGAATCTTCTGCTGAGTATTTTGAAGTCCATGAATGGCTTCAAGCAAAAGTGGTTGATCTGGAACCATGGTCCTGTCATCACCACCATTAGAGGATCCTTGTTGGTGAACTTCATATTCTCCCGCCATCCTTCTTGGAGTTGTGTGGATTCTAGATCTCGTTGAGACCATTAACCAATCCGCCTCCCCAGTGAAGTCTACAAAATATAGGAGAGGGTTCAAGAAAGGAGTTGGAAAATTCGAAAATCTTCGAAGATCCTTGAAGAACAACTTCGAATTCTCTAGAAGATGATGAGAGGCTTAGATTCTTCAATAGTCTCAACTCAAGAACACAAGAGTAAAGGAGATGATGGAGATAAGAGATTTGGTGAAGAAGAAAGCAAAATGGCTAGAGAGAGAATAATGGCAAGGCTCTCCCATGGATCTCCCACTTTCACTCTTAAGGTTGATAATAGAGAAGGGAAATTAGTTCTTTCCTAAGAGTTAATTCTCCAAAATCCATCCCTTGTAAAGCTATGGGTGGGTGCTATTTATAGGCATCTCATGATGTAGGATGGAGCCCATGTGCAAGACACATGGGAAATATTCTCTCTAACCACCTTGTCCGAGGAGGTGACCTCTCCGAGGATGAGAAGAACCCCGAAGAGGTGATCAACCCCTCGGCGAACCCTTCTTCTTAGCCACACCTAACCAATGATCCCCAATCATCCCAAAGGGTCAGGGGTAGTCCCAGAGGACGTTCTGCCGCATAAGGGTCAGGGGTAGTTCAAGAGAACGCCGTGCCGCAAATATTGCCGAGTCTCAAGGACCCCCTAGATCGTGCCACCTCGACCCGGGTATAGGCTAGTTTAACCGATGAGTGAATTTATCTCCACTCACCGTCCTCGGGATCGGGTCCTTTGTTCGAACTCCATTACGCCCATGGTTCTGGTGCGTAGATCCCGGAAAGCTCCGAGGCCGCAAGTGTTCTGGGACTCATTAACGGAGCGACTTCTAGATTGCGTCTGAATCCATTCGAAGTCAAGTGCTTCGAATCTCTAGGTTCGTGGATCCGAACCCTTTCGAGTCCGAGTGCCTCGGATCTCTAGGCTTGCTCAATACCCTTTCGAGTCCGGGCCCGAGTAAGTCTCTAAGTTCGTGGATCCGAACCCTTTTGAGCCTTAGAATGATTCAGCCCATTTGATGGCGATAAATCCGGGCCCACCAATCTTGAACTTGCGATAAATTCAAGCCCACCAACCTTGGACTATTGGGCCTAATTAATTTAGTGGGCTCAAATTAGCTCCTCTTACAAACCCTAGGTGATATTAGAAGTAGATTTTCTCTATTTTTCTAAAGATTTTGAGAATATGAGTTATGTTCTAAAGTGTGGTTATTATTTTGGAAAAATCTTTTCAAAAATGGAACAAAAACCTAGTTTTGGTGAAAATCCTAGAAATTGGAGATTTTGGGGAAAAGTTGAAATATTGTAAAACTTATGCTTGATAAATTGTTATGTGAATAAGTGATGGAGGAAATTTCTATAGTTGTATCAAATGAGAAAATTTCATGAGAAAATGAGAACTGTTGGTTTGGGAAGCTTGAGGAATATCTTATTGTTGTTTGTCTTGGAAAGACCAAATTTCATAAATGATGATTACTATGTGAAAAATGTATGAATGGTGATATTGTTATATTATCTCTTATAAAATGTATTATGATGTTACATTGATAAGAGATGTGAAAATTTGATCACAATGGAGGATTGTGTGGTGGAATTAAAAATGGAACTATATTAACGCATTGTTACATTTTGCATTGTCATTCCATTAAATCATTATTGCAATTGATTTTGAATCATGCATTGAAAAATTCTTGCTTTGAGAAGGAATTGTTTTTGTGAAACAAGATCAATTTGATTTGTTTTGGGATAAATACGTTGGTAAGTGCGGATAGGGGGCGTAGTTTGGTATTGGTTAAGTTGGCCTCAGTGTCCATGTTGAAAGATCGAAAACATGCACGAAGGAGGTACCACGTGCCTTCCTGGTTAGCAACCTAAAAAGTGGTGATTGGTAGTGCTCGATATGTCTACTTGCAGACACTAACCCGGGGATTACCTGAGTTATATTTACCACCCCATGAACTACATTGAAATTATTGAATTGTCATGTTTCAAATTGCATTGAGCACGGGATATTTTTTTTCAAAGATAGAGTTATATGTTTTGAGCATGACATAACATATGCATTCATCTCAGAAGACTGTATAAAATGTATATACTTTGTTAAGATCTTCTGACTGGATTTTGTGCTCACCCTATAAGATTTTGTGTAGGAAATGATATGGTGATCCTACCAAATTAAAGGCATGGAATGTATTTTGAGAGCACAAGGCTCTTTTCTTTTGTTGTAATTATTTTTGACAAGCCAAGGGTTATACATATATGGGTTTCGAAAATCATTTTTGTGTAACCGGGCTTAAGCCTTGGAATTTGTAGCCCTTGAGGAAATTGAATTGTACTCGACTTATTGTGCCACGTGCTATAGATTCATATTCTAGGAATGTTGAATGTATAATCGCATGTAGAGTATTTTTTTTAAAATCTCTAGAGTTTAATGAATACAAACGTTAAAGATTGGTAATGATGTTAATGATGAGGCTTTATATTCGTATACTTTAAGAAATAGAAACTATTAATTTTGGAAAACAAGATTATGTTGTTGGAAGATAATGAGTATATTTGGGTTAATTTCTTTGGGGCGTTACAACTTGGTATCAGAGCTACCGGGTTTGGGCAAAAATGCCAGATGTGCTCGAAGATTCAAAACTGGGTCATTTCTCAAGCCAATGGAGATCGGCAAAAAAGCCAAATCCCAAAATCTGATAGACGAAAAGTTTTGCTGAAGAACAATCAAGTTCCTATCCACAACACTAGGGGCAAATTCAGACCCAATTAGATGGGCTCTTACATCATCAAGACTACATCATCAGCGAACAACAGCCATTCTCTTAGATTCAGATGGCTTAGAGATCCTACGACCGATCAACATGGACAAGTTAAACTTTTCTATCCGTGAGAGGCTCGCTGGGTTGAAAACTCGAAAAGGCGACCCGGGCAAAACTTAGAGCAAGAAAAAGAGAAAAAGAACAAAAATGAAAAAATAGAAACAAAGCAAAAAAGAAAGAAAAAAAAGAAGAAAAGAGAAAAGAAAAAAAAAATAGCTTGCAAGGTTGAAAACCCGAAAGGACAGCTTTGGCAAAAGTTGGAGCGTAAAAGGAGAGTGTCAACACCCGAGTGTACCTTAACCCGGAACTACGTAGGGCCCGATTCCCATCTTTGGGATACGTAGGCAATTTCATCCTGAAGTTCGGCCCCAACCATTTTTAGCTTGCTGGTCTCATCCATGTTGATTGGCTGATCCTTGTTCAACTCGGCTATCTTATCCATGTGCAAATTGGCTCATCTTCGTTCAAATTCGGTTCTCCTATTCCATTAGAAGATCCAGCTGCAAGACAAATCAAGTTCAGATCTGAGATTGTGCATCTCAAGAGTAGATTCCATGTTAGTTGAGCAATGGCCATTTGCAGAAACAGTTTTGAAGATTTTTAGTGAGATTGACTAGTTTTCTCGAAAATTATTCCATTTTTCCAAAACTAGACCACTTCTTGGACCCAAAAAAAGGAAAATTTTCAATGCTCACAAGTTGAATTACATGATTTCAAATCAGAAAGTCGAACAAGCATGTTAATCCAACTCTCACGTTGGTTAAAATTGTTTTAGTAGAAATCCAAAAAAACAAAAAATGGTCAAAGTGATAAACTAGGGGCACAGTTGAGTCAGGTTTTTTTGTCTTTTCCCCATTATCAATATACTCACCAGAAAGGGCACAACTGAAGTTAATGGCAAGGGCCGAAAGCTCTCTCATCCTCCAAGCAGCGAGGTATCAAGCCAAGTGCGAAGCACGAACTAGAAATGGAGCAGGGTATTCGACCCCCTCATCTAGACAGGTTTGATCACACCTGAATTGGCGTATGACCCGAAATAGGGATGTAGAAAGCGCAATGTATGAGACCAATCAATTGTATACTTGGCCAGTGAGACGTATTGTAGTTCATCTCAGTCAAGTTAAGCCAAGGGCATCGTCAGCCGATGTCAGTTGCAGATTTGCTACGCATCCGGTCGCACCACAACCCCTCTGTGGGAAAGCTCACTAGTTATAAGAGAAAGAAGGAGAATATAGTAGAATACTAGGGGCAAGAGCCCA